CCTTACCATCAGCGTAGGGCTGTTGTAAGGAGAGGTGGAGGGACGCACTACTTCCTGGTTCAGAAGGTCTTCAGTATATTTCGTAGCCAATTTTCTCATTTCGAATGGCTGAGGATACTGTCGCGTATAAATTGGACTCGTAGTGTCAAGGGGGATGTCGGCCTCATATAATTCACACAGACCTAAATGATCTGATTTCTTAGCTAAAACATTCTTGTATTTAAACAAAAGGTTCCGCAATTTATGAATTAAGTGAGGGGGACATTCCGAGGTCTTGATATTTTCCTCGACAAGTTGTTTTAAATCCTTTTCTTCCAATTTCCCATGAATCAATTCTTGGCTCGCTTTTTTATCCCGCGAGACTAGATTGTTCACCGAACTGTCACAATCATCTTGATCTGGTGGGACGTACCACGAATCACAGGTTCCCATTGCGAGCGTTAAACCCGGGCTGACTTCAGCGTCTTTGTCTCCTAAGTTCATACATAAAACTGGGTACTTCCCATCGACAGGGGCTGATAAACTTCTTGCAACAATTATATTGCCACAGAAATTCTTTAGGACTAAAACAGTTTTGTTCTTCAAATGCTCCCTTGCCCCCTTGGTTGGGATGGTCCATATAATGAACTGGGACAGCGCTGGAATTACTTGACGCGTAATTGGATACAATCGCGCGGTTTTGTCAACATCGGTAAGTTTCCTCTTTTTTCCAAGTTTTAAGAAAGGTTTTAAAGTTTCTTCCGCTAAAAAGAAAATACGTGCCTCGTTTAAATAAACGCATCTTTCGGCGTAATCTATCGAAGCTCGAAGTTCTTTTAACAAATCGCATCCAATTATACCTTCAAACTCTTGATTGCGTACTTCAGTAACCAATAAATTTGCGGTAGTGAGTATACGATTGTTATGCGAAATTTCTGAAGAGACGATCCCCGAAATAGGGATTTCCCTACCTTCTATTGTTGAAATTGTTAAAGAAGATTCCTTAGGGATAACCTCAGGTCTTAGAACTGTTAAAGAAATTAGCGAAATTTCAGACCCAGAGTCAACTAGGAATTTACAAGGAAAAATGGAAACATTTGGGGTCAGTAGTATTACCGGAAGTTTCGGGGACTTACTTGAAACTCCGGTCAATACTCGTTTCCCGAGTATGACACTGATGCTGATGCAGATGGTTCCTCATAGTACCCCTCAGGTAGCCATTCCTCTTCTGGCTCCTGGTATTCCTGGTAATCATCCTGATATTCTTCTTCCGCATAATCGTCTTCTTTGGCAGTAGTGGAGACGAAATTAATTTGCCTTCCCTGACTTTTGCCGGATCCTTGGGCGCCTCTTCCACGATAAGAAGAGCAACCTCTATGCATTCCACTATTGCGTAGGATTCCGCGAGTTGGACGCGTGTTTTTGGGCGCAAAATATATTAATTTGCGCTTCGGCACTTGTTGGTCTTTTTCTCTAATCGCCAAACATTCACTTCTAAAGTGACCAATCTTCCCGCACCCGTAACAGGTCGTTGAACGGCGTATATCACTTGAAGCGTTAGCGGTCGCGCCGGCCGAATATGGGGAGGGGGCTCGCTTGTTAGTATAAGCCGATTTTTCGTTATAATGCAATGACAAATTGTTTAGGGTCAAGTCATTTAGTCCTCTTTCTAATAGGTCAGAATTTCTTTCTTCCACTGATATTGCTAAGGCTACTGCGGCTTCAAAAGTAGAAGGAGTGGCTATTATTTTTCTGCCAATTGATGGTTTTAATCCATCGATAAAAGCAGTCAACAAAAATCCATCCAGCATATTTTTCTTAGCCTGATATTCCCATTTTTCTTGAACAAAGAAGGGATTTTCTAATAAGGCGTCAGGCTGATTTTCTCTTCGGACTACTTTTAGCTTTCCAGGGGCTTCTCCAACTATGAACTTTCCTTGTTTACGAACTCTAGTACCGAAATTGTTTACAGATTCTGTTGCTCCTTGAGACATCCTAAAAAGATCTCTCATTCGTTTTTGAGGAACAACTTTTCCGTATCTATCTTGCAAAGTTTTTACTATTATTCTATAGTTGGCAGTTTCTAAACCGTCAATGGAAGTAATGTACTCGAATGCTTGCCCTTTTAATTTATTCATCAGATTAGAACAAATACCTTCATCGGTGTACACTCCATCATATAAGGCTCCTTGAAATCTTATCCACCATTCACTCCAAAGGTCCTTCCCTTCTCCGTCAAAGGGAGGAACCTGGCTCATTGCGATACTAGCTTGTTGTATCGGCAGCAAAGGACCTCTTAGTTTTTTGGATTTTTCCACGTCGTAGAACATTAATTCGTCGGCTGTTGGGTCTGTAACTTGGTCAATTGACAGCTCTTGATTAAATAGGGC